ATATTATATGATATATAATATAATATATATATATATATATATCATGTGTCACAGAAGGTGGAGCCTGGGAATTAAGATTTTCCTTGTGCAAATGACAATACATTTTATTCTAGATTCTTCAGTGTGAAGCTATCTGAGTTTTCTTCAGGTCATAGGATCCTGTCAGTATCCTGTAAATCCTGTCAGTTGTGACTATAAATCTGCAGGGGCATAAAACGCTGGGAAAATCCTTTTGGTGCAGGCCTGTAATTGTATCTAGTGCCATGTTCACCTGTTGTGGAAAGCTGCCACCTGCCCTCCCAGCGCCCTGCCGGGAGATACTGTATCACATCCAGTGACCCGCTGACAGCAGCATCCTGTGCTGCCACGATAACACTCAGATCTGAGGCTTCAATGCCATTCAATCTCCTCTGCTTTGGCAGCTCAGGCCATAAGCACAAGATTGTCCGTCTGTAAACAATACTAGATTCCAGCTGATGATATTAACCTCGCTGAGCTGGGGAAAAATAATCCCTGGCCAACAGTAGAGACACTGAAAGGATCCACAGCACAAAGGGTTTGATTTCTTGTTTCTCCATATGTTCCTCTTTTGCTTTCACCAAGTTAATGATGACAAAGCTGTAGTTGCAGGCTGTTGTTAACAAGGAATCACTCATTGGTCTGTTGCCGACTGAGATTCATCACCTGCTTCTACCTGAAAAGCTAATATACATTTCCAATTCTGTTCATTCCAAGGCCCGATTTTTTGGCAAGTACTTCACTTTGAAAAGTCAGTCCTTCTGAAAATATGAGCTTAAATCACTTGAAGTGGGAAAGTATTAAAATCCCTCGTTCACTGTCATGCTCGGCCGCCTGGTGAAAATGCATTTGCTTCTTGGTAATGGAAATAAATTGATTGTGAGGCCAAACGCCTCTAGTCTCCTCAGTCTTTAATTAAAACCTGTCTCTTAAAAGACAAGGGGAGCAAATGACAAAACTATGTGCCATAGCCTACAGGAAGCATGCATTAAGACATGTTAGGCTAAGATCGTATAAATATCATTAACACCGAGTTCAACACCCCAGCAGACGGTTGCAGATTTCACACGGCACCTCGTACATGTCGGCTATAAAAAACC